ACCCATCCTAAAGTTGTTGAGTCAGAGAAACACTGGATTAGGGCAAGCCAGATGAATAAACACCTGGAGATGACCATTGTAGAAAAGGCCCCATGTGGCCCATGGAAGACTTGCATCTTAGATTAAGTTATACCACAAAATAGCCCTCTTGGCAGCAAGTGTAAGGAACAACATTCAATGGGAGGGAATAGCATTTGTCTTTTCTTTAAAAAAAAAAAAAGTTGAATTAAAAATGGTGTTGGCCTCCTGTCTGAATTGCTCGCTATTCCATTCAGTGGTATCAACACGATCCCCCCGTCCTGTTCAGGAGTAAAACAGAGCAAGTGACAATTGCCTATAACGCTTCTTATGTTCTAACGGGTTCTTGCTTTTAAGCGGGGGAAAGTGGGTAGATTTTACAGTCTCTGCATTGCATCCACGAGTGAAAGAAGTATCCACAGTTACATCTTAGCAAACCACAGTGATCCTGTTTTCGCCCGTGTGGTTGGGCCCAACCGGCAGGCACCGTTACCTGTTGAGATCCCAAAGGCAAGAATTCAGGATGACAACATCTGGGACCAGATCAGCCTCCAGATCAGCTCTGAAGTCATTCAAGATGCTCTCCGTGTAGGTTGAATAAACACGGGTGATGAAGTAGAAACGGACAAGGTGGTGACGGGTGCGGTACTGGTGCACCAAGCGATAATCATTTCTGGAATGCGACCCATTAAACTCCACTTGGCGATCGTTTTCAAAAAATTCCCCATCCTGCAGGGGAAGATCAGCATCATTCGAAAGGCCTGATATTCACAGAAAGTCTCGGTAAATAAAAATACAGAACCATGAAGTCAGAAGGGCCAGTAGACCTTCCCCGTGCCATCCTACTGGGAAACAGGACCTTCCAAGCCAACTTTCAGTGCTTGACTTAACCAACATCCAGTGTTCAATTTCCAAGCACTGGCAGCCTGATTTGGGGGACAATCTCACAAGGGAGGCATTATTTACCTATTTACATCCAATATTTCCATTTCTGAAAGCTCTAAGATAAAAAAAGAAAAGAAAAAGAAGATATACAAGGCTGGCACAAATCGTTTTGAGTATGAGCCACTTCGAACTTGAAAAAGGGCATTTCAAATTCAAAATAGCTCAAACTCAGAATCATTTCCTGTTCTTGCTTTAAAATGTCTTGCTTTAAAATGCTTTAAAATTGGGCCAGCCTGTTTCATACTTGAAATAGGACCTTTGGAGCTCAAAACAGGGCATCTCAAATCTGAAATGGTTCAAATTCAAGTTTGAATGCCCTGTTTCGTAGGGGTGAAACTGGCTGTTTGAATCCTTTTTGGAAGGGTGTTACAATCCAATCCAGAGTTATTCTGACCTCAAAATACTTCCAAAATTATTGGGCCAGCCTGATTCATGCTTAAAACAGGACCTTTGGGGCTCAAAACAGGGCATCTCAAGTCTGAAATGGTTCAAATTCAAAACATTTTTTCCAACCCCAAGCTGAAAACAAAAGAATGAAAATGAAAGCAATTCTCAAGCACAGATAGCAGGCCAGCCTTCGTTCTAGAATCACAGAATCGTAAAGTTGGAAGGGACCATGACCATCCAGCCCCTGCTGGAAGACCTGAAGACCCCTTCAGGTGGCAGCCTGTTCCACTGGTTCCTGGCTTGTAACCCTGAGCAAGTTCCTCCTTTGTCTAACCCGAACCTCCTTTCTTGTAGTTTTAACCTCTTGTTTCTGCTCCTTGCCCTCTGGGACACTACAGAATAAGCCCACTGCTTCTTCAACGCGATAACCTTTCAGATATTTGAAGACCTCTATCAGATCTCATTTCTGCTCATCTTTTCTGTAAGCTAAATATACCCATCCCTCACCATCTTGGACGCCCTCTGCTGAACTTGCTCCAACTTGTCATGGTGAAACCATAGCTGTCAGACAATACTCCACCACGGCCATCTTCTGGGCGCAGGAGTTACACAACCAAGCCTGTAAAGTTCAACCCCATGAGGTACCCTAGTTGATGGTATCACAAGCTGCAGAGTGGTTGGGATGAAATATCAGGAGCATGGTCACCTCCTTCCAGCTTCCAAGGCATGTAACAAGGTGACCAAAGCAGTTTTCTATTCCCATAAAAAGCACAACCAAAATAGGTCCAGATAGTCAGCATCCTCCAGACGGAACTGGAGATGTGTGGCCACCATGTTCTCAATCCCATCAACCAGAATGGTATTCCCAACTACAGAACACATGTGTTCATAACTACGTGGGACTGCACAGTCAGTTAGCCAGGACTGGACAGCACTGGTAGTATAACAAAACTACAAGATCAACTTGTCCAAAGTGAGTCTGTGCTTGAGAGCCTCACAATGAAAGGCCATCAGTCATTCGTAGCACAAAAGAGACAGTACCTTTTGTTTCAGCTGAGAAAGGGTGAGCAGCTCATCTGTCTGCAGAATATAAACCAGATCTTTATATATTGCTCGATAATCTGCATGTGGGGAAAAAAACAAATGTAAACCAAGATGCAACATTTGTTGATCTGGATATTCTTTAAGGTAGTGTTTTTCAAACTTGGCCACTTTGAGATGTGTGGACTTCAACTCCCAGAATTCCCTAGCCAGCCTGGGGAATTCTGGGAGTTGAAGTCCACACATCTCAAAGTGGCCAAGTTTGAAAAACACAGCTTTAAGGCAAGCTAACCGATGCCCCCTCACTTCAAAGCAAACCCCAGTCAACTGAGTGAGACAATGCTAGCTGTAGAAAACATGGTTATTGCATCCTCCCATCTTTTTTTCTTTATTGATCACCTGATCATCAGATGGAGAAAGTTGATCAATGAGCCATTTCTCCCTTCTAATGATGCTGAGAATCCCCCCCCCCCACACTTCCCCCAATAGTTCTGCTTAAGGTGGTTGATTTTCCACAAAGGGAAGCCAACTGTTGTGTGTTGGGGCTGTGCTAGAAAAGGCCCTCTGTGCCTGCTCAAATCTCCTCACTCAAATGACCTAATTAGATTACTGCTGGACCCAACCTGGGCTCTGAACAAGCACAAGAACTTTAGAAGCCAAGATGAAATTCTTAAGCCTGGATTTGTTTGGGTTTTTTTATGCTGCGGCTCAATTCTGGACAAGGGTTCAAGGTTGCTTGGGTTGGCCATTCTCATGTTTTTTCATGGCCAACTGCCAGGCAAAATGTGAAGGAAGTTACGTCGGTTAATTTAGCAAGGACACAGCTATTCTGCTTGGTTTCTCACACATTCTTTGGAGCCTCGCCCCGCTGCCCGGGAGGCAAAATGGAATCGAAGCTAAAGTAGGTTCTCACTTCATGCTGAAGGCCAGGTTAGCATGACCCATCGCTGTGACTGGCCCGGTTTCAAGCACCTCAACCACATCTGTGGAACAAGGGCAGAGTCAGCCCCCCAAAACGTCTCTCTTGGATGATTCCAGACTGGTTTATGGAGACTTACCTGCTCACTGGAGCAAAGGAAAAGAACAGGTGCTTTTCCGTCCCAGACCAGACCGATTTCAGAACAAAGTAACTCTAACATTACCTGCCCATCCCTTGCGTTAATAATCTACAAAGTAGGAGCAGATTTGCATTGTCTTTATTTGAAATGAATTAATCCTCTGCCACAAACTCCTTTGTAGTAGAGTTTGTTTCTAAAATTTCTCACAAAGCCCTCATTTGCCTACTTAACTTATATAGATTTATACAGATGGATCTGGAAGAAATGCCAGACTGTGAGTGAGTGAGTGAGTGAGTGAGTGAGTGAGTGAGTGAGTGAGTGAGTGAGTGAGTGAATGAACCTTCCCTCATAGCTGAACTACATTGCCAATGGATTCATCTGCCTGTCCACTGGAGTACAGAGAGATCATGAGAGATGAATTCCCTTTTTCGTTTGCATTACTAAACTCATCGTGTGCTACCTCCTTCTGCTGTTCTGAAGAATTGCTCTTTACCTACCAGACACAAGTTGAATTGTCCGTTGGTGCCCTTAACCTTGACCGAAGCTAGACTGAAATCCAGTGGACCAACATTTTATTTAGGAATTTCCTCCAAACTTAACAACAAAGGTCCTTTACGGGAACCAAGGGAAAGTCTTCATTCTGGAGAAGATCTATCTATTTGGTTGCAAGAGTCAACACCAGCTTGATGGCACACAGTCAGAGCAAAGATAAAATCTCCCTTGAGCAACATTGGGCTCCTGGTGACTCCATGGACACACTCATCCAGTTTTCTTTCCAACAATACCAAAATGGTCTGCCATTCCCTTCTTTCACAAGCTTTTCTCAGCCTTCCAGACTAGCCAAGATTTCCTAATGGCCTCCCATCCAAGAACCTACCAGGTGCAGCCTTACTTAGATTTTCAAAAGCTCATCTGGTCATGTTTCCTATCTGCTCTACCTGGTAAGGCTGATAGTCATAAAGTGACTTTTTCATCACCATCGTAAATGGGAACAGTCGCTAAATGAGGCAGTCACAAAACAAGGACTACCTGTAATTGCTAGCACTTCCTGCTGTTGTTGGGCTATGAATAAATAAAAAGCAAGATGCCAGTATTTGTGGGGCGCAGTAAACATTCTCCAGCCTGAGGAAGATGGGGCGAGCAATCATGTATGACCGTGTATCCCCAGAGCAGAAACTTTGAGATTTCACAAGAAGATGGAAAAAGCGTGAAAAGGGGATTACAAAGGAGGTAAACATAAAAGCGAATGCAGGAGCCACATCTTTTCACTTAGAGCTCGCAATCGTCTGTTTGGTAGGTCAAGGATTTGTCTGATTAAAACTCCCTGTCCAACTGCTGGACCTTGAGAGAGAAGGAGGTCTCTGCTCAGCTGATACGAAGGAAGAGAGAAAGGCCAGCATCAGGCTTGTTTTACTCCGAACGTCATCTTGCTTGGATTTGCCCAGGAAATGCAAGAACAAACCCAGGGTGATGCCCTTCCAGCCCCCAGTTCAGAGCAATACTCACTAGAATCGCCTATGACCACCACAAATTTGTTGTGAAGCAGCTGCCGGGCCTCCTCCGAAGTAAAATCATGGACGCCTGAGAAAAGGCGGCCGAGCTTTTTCATGGCGGAGCTAGAATCACGCCCCACCTGTTGCCGGGGTTCTCCCCTGCTGGAAAAAAACGGAAGACAGCCAGAACTGAGAGACCTCAATCACGTGTAACACCAAGCCAGGATCCAAAGCATTCTGGCTAATCATCCACAATGGGACTGTCTGATCCGTTGTCCCCACTTGACCCATCCTGGTCTCCATGGCAGCTGAACAAAGCAGGAAACCTTGACATGCTTCCCCATATTTTTAAACAACTATAAAGTGGACATCTAAGACAGCTGTAATATAGACACCAAATTAAAATGTAAAACAAACAAAAAATCTCTAATGCATAAAGTTATACCAACTATTCAATCTTTAACATTTGCACAGTTGATGTAAGGTTATAGAGTCGTCTTTTTAAAAATATCTACTTTGGTGTGTATATACAGGTAGTCCAGTGCGTATTGTGGTAGCTTAACGACCACGATAGAGACCAGAAAATTTGTTGTTAAGTGAGACGGTTGTTAAGTGAGGGAGCGTGTGACTGCACCTGATTTTACAACATTTTTGTGGTGGTCGTTAACCGAATCACCACAGTCGTTGTGGTGAAACATGTGGTCATTAAGTGAATCACAGTTCCTCATTGATTTGCTTGCTGGAAGTCAGCTGGGGAAGTCGCAAAAGGCAATCATGTGACCCTGGGACTCTGCAACCGTTGTAAGTGCGAGCTGGTTGCCAAACACCCATTTCACAATCACGTGACTGCTGGGACACTGCAATGGTCATAAGTGTGAGAACTAGTCATCAGTCACTTTTTTCAGCCCTATCGTAACTTCAAATGGTTGCTAAATGAGTGGTAGTTAAGTGAGGACTACCTGTACTCTCTTCTGACTTACAAAGAATTGCAGGCCTCAGCTTTGCCTGAACAATCCACATGGAGCTGTTTTAACTTGTTCATTTCAATAGGTCTTAGGTTACAGCATCTCCAGCAAAAAATATATATATATTTCAGCGTTGCTGGACCCCTCTTGTGCTTGTATAGAACAGAAACGAGTAAATCATCACTTGTGGGAGATGCAAGAAGAACAGCGTGTCATTAAAACATACGTTTGGCTTCATTAAAGCTATTGCATTCTGGAAGAAGTAATTACATTGATTATTTCAACCACGAGGCAAGATTTAAAATGTCCAGACTTAGATATGTAGTTGAAACAGCATATCTACTGCATGGATACCGTTGAACAACAGGAAAGACCAGACCTTCGACTTTCGAAAGATAAATTTATGGCTCCAATTCGGTAGACCGAAGACCTGATGGTACTTGCAACTTACGAATGAGTATCTTACAAGTGCAGAGTATGTGTGGGCAATTACAATGAAATATGGTCATCCTTAATTGCAATTTTATGTGTGTGCATGTATACATACGTGTGTGTGTGTGTGCACAAAAATAACAAATACTGTATATAAAATATCCATATGGGGCCGAATGAATATTTTCATTTTTGTTTGGATCAGCATATAGGAAGCCGACTCACCATATGCATTTAATCAACCATTAACTAAACTATTAACTATTATAATTCAGGGAATCATCTATGTAAACAGGCAACAGGTTAAGAAAATGAGAAGGGAAGAATTAGTAAAACAAACTGCAGAAAAATAAGCTCCTGGGTCCTGTAAATTTAGCCAGAGTTAATAGTGGAAAATAACACTTCTTGTGAGTAATGGGAGCAATGTATAAAAAAATGCGATAATCTGGGTCTCAGGTGTGCTTCTCTGCAGGATTCCCGCGGATTATATTTCTTTCCCCAACAAGATGGTTTCACGCAAAAGGGAGGGAGAGAGTGCATGAGAAAACAGCGTGGTGGTGGTAAAGGGGCTGATCTAGGAGACCCGGGTTCTAATCCTGCCTTAGGCCCTCTCTCAGCCCTAGACTGGAAGTCAGAAACCATCTATCTGCTGATCAGAGATGACGGTTTATAACAGTGTTTTTCAAACTCAGTAACTTTGAGATGTGTGGTCTTCAACTCCCCACAACCCACTACCATTTTGCCGCAGAGTAGCAAAGCCAACATGGAACCAGGTTGAATCCGGTCTCCTTTTTGCAAGGCAGCAGATAAGCACCTGATTTATTCATCTGGCCTATTTCCACACTCCCACAATCAAAAAGATTCTCTCAGCAGCTTATGTTGGGGGAAAAACAAAAGACAAATTAAAACATCCCTGATAGAAAGATAAAAGCAACCGATAAAACAGTCTATAAGTAAAGCCGTACGAAATAAGAGGGAGATGCTTAACAGCAGAGCTGATAACAGGAGAAAGGTCTCCAAGCAAAGTCTCTTATATGGCTAATTCGACATGAGACCCAAAATGTCACTTATCAAAGCTCCAAGCAAATTACCCAGATGTGGCTTCAAGTCAGGTAACCAGGTTAACTAGAATTTCGGCAAGGATGTGTGGAGACGAGAAGCAAAGAATCCGGGTTTATTTTTTGTTTTTTAACTTTTAGTTTTGGGTCTTTTGTTGCTGATTTGATCGATTTCAATGCGGTAATCTTTATACAATATGATTAAAAACGATTAATAACATTCTATTATTTAGAAAGCTTATGGAAGGGAAAAGCAGAAAAGTAAAAATTGTATCCATATTCATTGCCCTTGAGGATGTCAGAGTGACAAACATAAGATTATTTAACTTCTCATCCAAAATTGAGAATAACCTAAAGAAAAAGGGGCCACGGCAATCCACATCAAAATATTAGTTACATACTAGTTTCAGCCTTGAACTAATCACTTGAAGCCAGGTTTGCTGAAGAGGTGGTCCCCTGTCATGAACACAGCCATGGTGGAATCTCTCTCAAGCAGAAACCCAGGTTGTCACAAACACCGGAGAAGTTTCTTCCTTCTCCCCAGATTACTGTATCACTGTTCCTTCCTGGGGTTAATCTAGCAAACCTGTGCACACTCATTGATTGGGCTGTGGTTGTGGTTGGGGTTATGGCTGTTGCTGCAATGACCAGCCCAATGGTTTGGCACACTTCCTAGCTAAACAAGCCCAGATGGACTATGATGAAGATGGACATCTTGTAGCTAAAAACACCCAGGATACAAGACACTGAATCATCTGTCCGGGATGGTATGAGGACTCCTGTCTTAGGCAGGGGGTTGGACTATAAGACCTCCCAGGTCCCTTCCAACCCAAGGATTCTATAAACCAGTCCATCCATCTTAACCTTGCTGAGGTTGCAAAACCCTGCAACACATCTCAGAGGGTGAGAACAGGGACTTTCTGACTCAGGTTTTCAGCAAGTGTTTGCTAAGAGGACAGCTGGGAGAGCTTGCTTTCCGCTGACATCACCTTATTTTGCAATCAAGGTATCTCCTCTGCCAGATAAGGGCCTCAGCATCTTATTTGACTTCTCTGGTTTCTTTTTGAATCAAGGCGTGAGAAAGTTCCCCTTTTTAATGACACCAGATGGCTTTGATGATCAAGAAAAGCAATCGAGCCTCAAGGAGAGTTGGCTTTCTCTCTTACTTAAGCAAAAGGCACATACTGTATCCCCAAGATGAAAGCCATCTTAGCCTTTACAAAACATATCCAGTTATTTATCTGTTGGCTTTTTTACTTACTTATCAACTTTATATAGCTGTCTATCTCACAAATGTGACTCACGAATGTGATCTGGTGATCCAAGTGCCAACATAAAGGTGTACTGATTTATTAAGCAAATGGGTAGAGCTGCCCATCTACCCAAAGTCTGGGCACTGACAAAACAAGCAAATACAATAAAACAACCATTTAAAATAATAAACTACTTTACTCAGCATGGCAGCTCTTGCTTGAATGGCCAGCTCAACAAAGACCCAACAGGTCAGTGTAAACAGAATTGGACTCAACTCAGCATCAAGCAGTCATGAAGACCTTCTAACAGCTTGCCCCAAAGTCCAGACCTTTCATCCCCTCCAAGGTCCAGGATATTAGGGTTCCCTTCTCTTCTGAGTGGTCACCTTTCACATGCCTTGATATTCCTGGATTCTAACTGCTCCTTCTTCTCAGATCTTCCAAAGCAGATACAGTGTCTGCAACATCAGCGGTTAGCTTCATAGCTTCAGCCACTCTACCAACATGGTCCATGTGTTACGGCAACTCCTTCAATTAGACTCTCTTTCTCTGGCAAGGCCTAAACTTCTGCATAGAGCCTAAATCAACGTTCTAACTCTTTTCATGCTTGTATTAATTTCTAATGTTTCAGTAAGCATCCAATGGTACTCATTAAGCAGGTCTACAAGCGAATCTGGAGACAGTGAGGTCTTTTAGTTTCTTCGAGTCCCTTGCTAGTCCATCTTCCAACAGACCAAGTTTTTTTTATTAGCTTTCAATTCACCCACCATGGTCTTTCTCCATTCTGGATTGTTTCCTTTCCCCAGCCAGTTAATTTCCCCATCTGGCAATCATCAATTAACTTGTGAACAGGCCGTCTCCTGTATCTGAGCAGTTCTCATATCAGAAGCCACCACAAAATCTTTGTGGGTTCTTTTCCTCCTGTAACTTCCTCCTGTTCGCACCTTTGAAGTTCTGCTAATTGTCTGTCCTAACCCTCCCCTCTTTCTTATCATCAGTGTCATGCAAATACACACCGAGTATCCTGACTAAATACCTCCTTTCCCTTCATACCAAATGCAGCAATTTAATATAAAGAAATGTGTGTTTACATGCCAGGACTTGAGCCGGTGAATTAAAATCCAAACAACAACACAGCAAAGCAATACAAACTCCCAAAATAGCAACACAAGGAGAAAACCGAAGGGCACAACTTGAAGGACCCTGGTGTTAGTTGTTGGGAGGGGAGAAATATATAAAATTTCCTCCTGCTAGGAACTTCTGTTCCCGGTGAGCGCAATCCATCACCGATGGCAAGAGGATTCAACACAAGGATTCCTTAGTTTTGTTGACTCTGTTTCAACACAACTGCCCCTTTCACACATTTCTCAGTTGTGGCACAACTAATTAGGGGTGCACCTCACTGATCAACACCATTTATCCACTTAATTGTGAA